AATCACTCCCTAACTGCCCCCCGCTGGCCTGATTGATGCCTAACTTCTCCCCTACCAGCCTGATCACCCCCAACTGCCCTACCCTGCCAACCTGATGGCCCACAACTGCCCTCCCCTGCCGGTCTGATTGTCCCCAACTACCCTCCCCTGCAAGCCCAACCACCCACAACTGCCCTCCCCTGCCACAATCTGCCTCCTCCTCTGGGACCTGCCTCCTCTGTGTGAGGTGGTGGAGGTGCTGGGACAGGCTTCCTCTGCACTTCTCAGAGCCATGGGACCCCCAGGCCTCACCATGCAGAGCAGCCACTGGCCCCACCTCTGTTGTGCATGCAGCCATCTTGTGGTGACCATCTTGTGATGACGTTGTGCTGGAGGGCCACCTAGGCTTTTATTAGTATAGATATGCATAGCCCATGGACATGGCAATAGGATAGTGAAGACCTGGGTGAGTGAGTAGGGCCTGGGAGGAGGAGGATAAAGGGGTGAGGGGGGAAATGGGAGATATTTGTAATACTATCAACAATAAAAAATATATTAAAATGTTCAAATAGTGGGAATGTCAAATAAACCTGAATAGGTTCATGTCCCTGGAACTATTCCTTTTTGCCTGGGGTCTTTAACAGATAAACACTGTTTCATCCTTAATTCTTCTATCTCTATTTATTTATTAGGCTGAGATTTCCTAGAGAAGTTTCTTACTGGAATTTCCTTCCAAAAGGGGAAAATAATCTTAGAATTTGACAGTAACTGCCATATCAGGAGAATTAAAATGGCTTTTCAACAGATTTTATTTGTCCTGTTTTTCTTAGTGCAGTCATTGAATCTGGGACTACTGATCAATTTCCCTATTGCATCAACTGCATCTTCTTTATGAGCAAATCTTCATCTGATACTGGAAGAAACCATAGTGAATTTCTGATTATGATTCAAATTGATCATTTAAAACCTCTTCCCAGAATCCTATCTAATAATAGACAAACATGGTAATTGACCATACCTCTGCTACGCTTCCCATTGGCTAATCAGCAGGTTATACAAATGAACTGCCAACAAAGATGGCGGCCGGCAACCACGCAGCTGAAGCGAGCAGGAGATTTGCTTGCTCCAGTGATGGAGGAAGCCAAGGTTCTCCGCCTGCCGTGGCCCAGCTCTGA